TATATACACACACACACACACACACACACACACACACACACAATGGAATATTACTCAGCCACAAAAATGAATGAGACCTTACCATTTGCAATGACACGGATGGAGCTGGAGAATATTATGTGAAGCAAAATAAGTCAGGTAAAGATAAATACCATACAATTTCACTCATACATGGGATTTAAGAAACAAAACAAATAAGCAACAGGAAAAAAGAGAGACAGAGGCAAACCAAGAAACACTTGACTATGGGAGCAAACTGATGGTTACCAAAAAGGAGGTGGATGGAGAATGGGTGAAAAAAGTGGTAGGGATTAAGGAAGGCACTTGCTGTGATAAGCATTGGGTATTGTATGGCAGAGTTGAATCACTGTATTATATACCTGAAACTAATATTATACTGTATGTTAACTGGAATTTATTTATTTAAGTTTAATTGAGACAGAGAGAGACAGAGAGAGAGAGAGAGAAACATAGCGTGGGAGGGGCAGAGAGAGCAGGAGATACAGAATCTGAAACAGGCTCCATGCTCTGAGCTGTTAGCACAGAGCCTGATGTGGGGCTTGAACCCACAAACCTCAAGATCATGACCTGAGCAGAAGTTGGACGCTTAACCAACCGACTGAGCCACCCAGGCACCCCAACTAATGGAATTTAAATAAAAACTTTAAAAAAATAGAATGAGGGACCAAAACAATAATTATTTCAGAAAGTGAGCCTTCATAAATTTAAAAGAACAGGGGAGCAATGAAGACTCAGTTTGATGTTTGCCATCATGTTTTTATACATAATACAATGTATATAGCTCACTCACACAGACCGAAAAAGGAAATTATTGTACAAATACTAAACATTTGGACAGTAGGAATGTTCTGAAAATTTGTAGACAATAAAGTACTAGTGATTAATTTAAAAAAAAAAAATCCTTGTGCTTAACAGTTTAACTCTGCTCCAGGGTTCCTCAAGCTCTACACTACTGACATGCATAGCCAGATAATCCTTTGCTGTGAGGGTCCACCCACCGTGAGGGTCCACTCCCAGGACTGCAGGATATTTGGCAGCCTAGCAGCATCCTTAGCCTCTGTCCACTAGAAGCCAGCAGCGCTTTCTCTCCCTGGCCCCCAGCCTAGTTGTGGCAGTCACAAATGTCTCCAGACATTGACAAATGTCCTCAGGAGGTAAAATTGTCATTACCCTGCAAGTTAAAAATCACTGTTCTCCTCTAATACTCTTTATACTGTTTATACAATATCATGTCATTCAATAACTTCCTGAATTACAATTTTAGTGTAATACATTTAATTGAAAATTAAATTAGTTTTAGGGGTGTCTGGGTGGCGCAGTCAGTGAAGCGTCTGACTTTGGCTCAGGTCATCATCTCACAGCTTGTGAGTTCAAGCCCTGTGCTGGGCTCTGTGCTGACAGCTCAGAGCCTGGAGCTGCTTAGGATTCTGTGTCCCCCTCCCTCTCTGCCCCTCCACTGCTCGTGCTGTCTCTCCCAAAAATAAATATTAAAAAATATTTTTTAAAAAGTTAAAAAAAATAAATTAGTGCTACACCTAAGATATTACTTTTGATTATTTTACCTAAAAAAATTTATATTTGAGAATTTAAAACAATCAGGTTCTTTGCAATCTACCCCTTTGGTATATATAAGATATGAAGTTAGGCTTCGCCAATGAAATAATAAGTAGGAGGTGATTTATGTTGCAAAGTTTATTAACTTCCTCCTCTAAAGTGTGTCACCATTTTTCAGTTGGTATACTTTAGAAGATAAAATTAAGAAGACTTGTATCAAGAACAAGTTTCTTGAGCAGTGAAGAGTTTATTTGATTACTGTATACAGACATGGCCTAAGTCAACAATCAAATAAAATATAACTGCATGCATATATATCTGAAAATTAAAATAAATTCATTAGTCCATTTTCTAAAAATTCAGAATTTTACTATTTTTCTAAAATGTCTAATAAAATTTACTACAACTTTGGTTTTGCTTTTGTTCCTTTTAAAATATATACTTAAATATATATTAAAAGCAAGTATTTTGCTATTTCTACCTACAACATTCACTAAATATTTGTGTCATGTTAGTTACTTTAGGGAAGATATAAAAATGATGGTCTGCATTCCTGAGGAAATCATTTCAGAAACAAGTCACAATACACATAAGCCCTAAGAAAGGAAAAGACAGTATAAAGCAACTAGTAAAGTGTTTTGAATAAGTCTTATTAAAGAAAAACATATGCACACACATACACCAAAGTTAAGGAAGATAGTGAAATTCATTTTAATAGGCATGTTCCATATAAACAATTTGTCACAAATTTTGTATTTTAAGAGTCTATAAGAAAAATCACAGTATGCATAGACTAGAAGCAAAATACATCAAACAAAAATATCCTAAAGATATTTAAGTTGTCAAAGTTTTGCAATTTTTCCAAATCATTTTAGGGTTTGGGGAAAAATAGTGCATTTTTGCTTTAAAAACAAATGTTCTCTATGTGTTTTTGACTATTATTCCTTCTCATCCAAAAAAAAATACTGCCCTACAAATTCCATAGTTTTAAATGAATGGTGTTTGTTTTATATTTACTAAGAAAATGGTTTGCCCATTACCATAAAAACAGAATTAAAAATACATCTGGCTAAGTAAATCCAAAAGAGAACAGTGGATTTTGTTAGGTTTATAGATAATGATATGTATATAAGTGACCATACATTCTTAACCTTTTCCTTGGGTGCAATTTGGAAGTAATATGCCTTTTAATAGCCTACATTGGACATTGTGGTTGCATTCCAAGTGAGTAGCATCACAACAAAATTATCTAATATACACGTGTTGCTTAGGGCTGCAATGTTACCATAGTTACTACCAGATCAAACATCTCAGGAAAGCAGGGCCACTAAGTCTTTCAGTTTACAGAAATTCAGCACTTTTGATAGTTTATGAGCCTTCATTTTTCTTCTTTTGGGGGCTTTTCCAATTGGCATTGTGTTGTTTCTTCATCTTTCTTTTTTACATCTAAAAAATAAATAAATAATTCCGTTCATTTATAGAATATGGTGAAATATATTTTATACTATAGTGGAATGAAACCATTAGTACTTCCTTTATGCATCCTAATAATTCTCTCCTTGATTAGGAGAGGCTTTGCCCTCAATCTAGATATGGAAACTATACAAAGAAAAGAAATATGGATAGGTTTGGGAATCAACATTCTCCTAGTTACCTTTCCCTCCTATTCTCCAGAATTATTACATGCGAGGCAGTCTCCTAGGTATTATCACAATCTCCATTTATAGATTAGTCTATTGAAATACAAACAGGTTAAGTAACTTGTTCAGTCACAGAGCTAGTAAGTGACAGAAACACAATTTGGACCGGGTCAAGTGGCTCCATAGCCCAACCCCCTTAATGATCTCCCTATAGTTCATCACACTCTCTCCAGCTTCCTCACAGTTTCTACCTCCTTTGCTCTTAGAAGATGATCTCACTACTTTGCAGAAAAGAAAAAAAAAAATCAAAATCTTCAGGTAAAAGCTCCCTCAACCACCAAATTTCTAAAACCCCGTAGTCTGTACTTATTCCTTCTACCCTTCCTCTTATTACAATGGAAAATGTGTTCCTCAGGACTGGTTACATAATTTATTGGAGCCCAGTGCAAAGTGGGAATGTAGCACCCCGTCTTCAAAACATATGGAAAACTTCAAGACAGCAACAGCAAGTGCAAATCTCTTCTGAACCCAGGGCTCTGTGCAACCAACCACACCTCACCGCACAATCCTGGAGCTGGCCTTGGTGCTGCTCAGACTATCCAAGTCTATTCCTTCAAGATCTGGGACCCTCTCCATTTCTGCCTCATCAGCAAGCTGACTCTAACAATCATCTCCCGCCTCCATTTCACCTGACTTTCCCTTGCTCCTGACTCCTCATTTCCTCACATCACCACCAACTTTGAACTAACAAAGGCCTTCTTTTAACTGAAAATTTTCCACATACTATCTTGTCTTTTATCCTTTAAAACATATCTCTTGAGGTCTCCATTTTAAATGAAAGCTATTAAGTCTCTTCTGCCTCCCTAATACTCTTGCCAAAATCATCACTGGCATCTTTGAAGTTCAATATGATGGATTCTATTCAGTTCTTCAATTTTTATTCAGGAAATATATTATTAAACACGTATAATATACCAAGCAGTGAAAAAAAATATTCCAGCTCTCAGGAGACTTCTAGTGAGGGATATGGGGAATAAACAAAATAAGTAAAATGTATGGTATGTGAGGAGTCCTAAGTGCTATGGAGGAGAAGTGCTATGGAGGAGAATAGGAGTTTTCAAGAAGTCTTGGGGCATGGAGGTTGTGATTTTAGCTAGGGTTAGCTGGGGAGAAGGGCCATGCAAGTAAAGACCTGAAAAGGTAAGGGGTGAGCTATGCCAATGGCAGGGAGAGAGCATTCTAAGCAGAGAGAAAGTTAGAGTCAAAGCTATCAATGTGCAGGAAGGAACTGCAGGCAGGATAATACAGAGAAAAAAGAACAGAAGATGGGGTCAGAGGGATACCAAGAGACCAGATCTTTTGGGTGAAAAATGGCAGCTAGCTGAACAAATCTGAAAGTAGAACTGACAATTATTGCTGATAGATTAGATACACAGTTGAGAGAAAGAGGGGAGACAAGGATGATTCCAAGATTTTGACTCTGGCAACTGGAAGTGTGAAACTGCCATTCACCAAGACGGGGAAGAGGCAGGAAGAACAGGTATCAGGGAGAATATCTGGACTCCGCTTTATTATCCATTAAGTTTGAGATCCCTCTTAGATAGCCAAAGCAGGGGTCAAATAGGCAGATGGATTTATGAGTGTGAAGTCAGTGGAGCTTCTAACTGGAGAAAACAAATCCATGAGCTATCAGGAAAATGATATTGTCCCAGTGAAATCGGACAGTATCTCAAGAGGAGGGAATGTTGATAGAGACAATGTAAAAAACAAAACCAAAAACAAACAAGCAAACAAGAAACCACTGAGTTCTGGTACCACGTAATTCATTAAGAGATCAGAGAGAGAAAGAAACAATAGCAGGAGAGGAACAGCCAGTGAAGCAGGAAGAAAACCAGGAGAACGGAATGTCCAAGAAGCCAAGAGAAGAAAAGTCTTAAGGGGAAGAAAGGGACGGTGCATCATGACAAAACTTCCAAGAGATCATGTAGGATGGAAACTAAGAATGGACTGCTGATTTCATCAGACACAATGCTACTTGTAATCTTGAAACAGAGGGGTGGTATGGTGAGGATCAGAGGAACAAAGAGGATTTGGAGGCATGTCCATTCTAAGGGCTTTTTACTGGCTGCTCCTTCTGCAAAGACAGCTCCTACCTCTGATCTTTGGTGCCTGCTGCTTCCTTCAGTTGTGATTCAAAACACATCATTGTCATTCAGATTTCAGTGAGGGCTGTCCTAATTTCTCAATCTAAAACCACAGTAACTCTACCACAACATCCTATTTAATTCTCTGATAGAACGGATACTGTTGACATATATTTATTTGTTTATAACCTAACTCTCCCATTGTAGATATCATCCAGGACAGCAACACTTTATGTCTGTCTTATTCACCCATATGCTGCTAGTTTTTAGAATGGTGCTTAGCACTTAGTGGGCACTAAATTGAACAATGGATCAAATGAACAGTGATAGAGGGAGTTAAGGAAAGGCCCTTTGTGACATTTACAGCTGCCGCCCTCTGTGCCTACTTGCTCATATGTTATCAGGCATCATTGTCCTCCCTATCACAGTTATTAATTTATAAGAGATAGATTAAGACAAAGTGTGAACTGGGCAAATTTCAGACAGGTTAGTTTCATGCAGGATGCAAGACATTTGTGAGCCTAGAATTTTTCCCACCTAAAAATATTTATCAACAACAACAACAACAAAAATCAAAGAGGATAGATCTGAGGGAAACCACTTAACCACCTAATAATCCACCTAATAACCCCCTTTCCTTTCCCGCTAAGGGAATGTGACCTTACTTAGAACAATCCTTATTTTCTTTTGCTAATAACTTCCTTGTCTCACCTTCCTTCTTATAAAAACCTTCCATTGTGTACAACTCCTCAGAGCTCCCCTCTACTTGCTGGATAGGATGCTGTCTGATTCATGAATCACTTAATAAAGTCATTAGATCTTCAAATTTACTTAGCTGAAATTTTTGCTCTTTAACAGTATAAAAATAGTAACTATATTGTTTCTGATAATGGTCTCTCTAGCGACGGAAGTAAAATGGTGAAAACTACTCACTCTCCTACAAAGAGTTAACCAGGTAACATCAGTAAGCATTAAGGTTTTGTGTGTATGCAGTTAGGGTACGTAAACTCTAATTAGGCCCATTATACTAATAAGCAACTTAGCTTCTCTCCCTCTCTAGTTGAGGATGGCCCTTCAACAGCAACATCATGTTCTAATAACCATATTCCATTTTCAAACTTAAAAGGCCGAAATGATTACACACATTTTTATTTATTTTCTTTCTTTCCAATTTCCCATCTTATAATAGTTTGTGTGTGTGTATATATACTTTTTTTACTATTACTTGTAGTATCTCATAAGAGAAATGCAATGACCTCTGGGAAAAGATGAGGTGTCCCTGGCCAAACCAAGATTTACTTATTTCATAGGGATCAAACCAGGAACATTTGTAATTTACCAGGTAGCAAATAATCTCCTGAAGCAAAGGACCAAGAGCCCTCTTCTGGGACTTGCATGAATAGTGTAGATATGCACAAACTTCTAGCTTTCTCTTGCCTCATTGCCAGCAAGCATAAATTTCTGTACACATACTAAAGTCTACCTTGACGTCTAACATGGGGCACAAAGCACAGGTATTTTGGTAACACTTTTTTCTTTAACCTCTACAAATATTTTTAAATAAAAAAACTCCTTTAAAACTTTACTGAGAGTATCATTATATTTATTTCCAGAAGACTAAGCTCTGGAAGCTGTATGAGATGTATGTAAGAATGGGGTGAAAGACCCGAGATTTCCCTTCATTAGTTTGACAGCTCCCTTTTTTCCTTAATTCAACTTTTTCCACTGAAGAACAATCACCTTTTATACAAATACTCACCTTAAAGATTTCATCTTTAACTGATAATAAACTTCTTCTTAGATGTGAGAAACAGAAGGACTTGAGAATACTACAGTGAAATAGAACCTGCCAAAGTGGTTTGCCAATGGATGACAGAAAGAAAACTATTTCATTTCTGAGTATTTCTAGATAAATGTCGTAAGTCTGTTGAGGGGATTATATTTGTTCACCTCTGATTCCCAATTACTAGCACTGTGCATGGCTATACATGTTCAATGAATAAATAAATGTTCAGCTTCCACATACACATCGAGACAAAAAGGTAAAACTGTCCACTTCAGAAAGCCTAAAAAATGTACTTAGCCTTAAGCAAACACTGAGAGATTTTAGTAGGCACTTGTGAAAAAAGGCACAGAAAAAAAGAGCACTTATGACTAGTTAAAAGAGAGACTGTTCCAGAGGAAAGGATTAAGAAGAGAGTGCTACTGTTTTGAAGAGAATTTGTGTGTTACCTTCCTCCATGGAGAGGGCCTCCAGTCTGAGGGGCAACTCCGAGATTCCACCTGTCCCTGCTGAGCCCTGGATGTCTGGCACCGCATTCCGGCGGCCTGTCCTTGCTGAAGATGCAAAATTGTTGACCACGGGCTCCACATCAGTCATTTTCGATGAATCTGTCCTCATAGCAACATCTACAAATAGAATGTGCACATGAAGAAGAGGATGAGCCTATTTTGAGGTAAATGTTCACAGTGGTGGTTGAAAGGCATGGCTAGATCAAAATCACAACAGGCTTGAGAATCTACTCATTGATCACACCCTGCATCTACGTCTACTGTTATGGTCCTGAAGCTTCCATTTGCACATTAGCACATTCGCTGAATAGAGAAGGAAGTTCTCAGTGTGAGCCAGGTTGCTATAAATACACCCTGAGCCGAATAAGCCACTTGGATGCTTTAGGGTGCAGTAATCTCTGGCTTTTGTTCTGTTTTTCTGTGGATGGATCAGCCAAACTAGGGCTTGGAAGGAAATGAAAACTGACTTGCTTGGCCACTCCTATAGAGACCCTGCCTGCCAGTTTTTGTTTGTGGTGCTTGTTCAGGCTGAAACTAAATTACTATAATTTGTATGGATCAAACAAAACACACTATGCTCCTACTCTTTAGATATGAGAAGTTCCACTTTATCTCAAAGGCATTTTTCCCCTAGTGACAGCTGTGTATTTCTGCCTGTTCTAGTCAAAGACCCAATTTTCAACAGCCTCATGTTCATGTTTAGGAGAGTAGAACCTGTATTACCTTTCTTGCATTTAAGTGGAAATGGTAATTACTCATGCTTCCCTAAGCATCCTTTATCTTTCTAATAATTGTACCTATGAAAGAATTCTTAGGAAATCATTTACTGTACAGGGAGGGAAGGAGGTAGCAGATTCTGTTTATTCTAAAACTAACCCTCTTTCATATGATGTTTTCTAATGAATCTTTCCTAAGAAGTCAACACTGAATAGTATCTCAAAAGCAACAGAAGCAGCAGCAAGCATTTATTGAGAACCTATTAAGTACTAGGCTCTCAGTTGGGCACTGAGAACACAAAGGAATAACATACTTTCCTGTTTTTAGGGGACTTGCACTCTCAAAGGGACTTTGCACCCTCTTTCTCCTCTTTGATGCATTGGTATACATGCATACCACAGAATGTGCTGAGTATCAACCAAGGGATGGAGATAATCATCCTTTGAATCAATTAGACTTCTGTTTAGTATTTGCCAACTGTCTGGCATTGACAGACAACATAGATTAATATAAAAAGCACTGAACTATTAGTCAAAAAGAACTTGACTCCATTATAGACTTGCAGGTGATATTGGCTAATTCATTTAATTTCAGAGTCATGGTTCCTCCTCTGCATAATGGATATAAAAAAAATTAGCCTAACTGATACACAGGATTTTTGTTAAGAACTAATGAGATAAAGGATATAGAAACTCTTGATAATTCTAAAATTATGTCTGGTTATTGGCACCATTGTTCACATCTCACAAAGTTTTATTCACTCCACTGCCCTTCTATGTATCCTTTTAATCCTACAAAGAAACATCTTCCTACTGGAAGTCCTCTTGAACTTCCTAAGAGGGAAACCAGAATGTATGCAATACAACATAAACATTTTCATATCTATTGTCTCATTTTAAGTCTCCCAATAATCCTTTGACATAGTAAGGAATAACCCTCACTCACTACGTGGATGTGAAAACCGTGGATGTGATTTATTTAAAGTCACAAAGCTGCTCATGTAGCACCCAAGAATGCAAATCCAGTTTCAGTTCACTCTGAAGGCAAGATGACATGGATCGCCACAAAATTATCTTTCCAAATCTCTGTGACATGCAGACAGTCATACAATAGCTACTTTTGATTCTGCCCTTGATTACTTTTTAAATAGGGAAAATATCATATATATAAATACACATATATATACATACACACATACTTACATATGTGTGTGTGTGAGAGAGAGAGAGAGAGAGAGGAAGGGATGGAGGGAGGGAGAGGGACAGATTCCTCATCTTTTCATAGGTGTTCCTGTCTGGCTTTGAATGGTTGTCTTGTGAGACCCCCACGCCCCACCCCTCCATGTTACATGAATGTCAATTACAGATCTCTTCTCTAGAGCTTGTGAGAAGTGTCTCACACCAAGTTTGGAAAAAGACCCCGTTTGCCAGCTTCCACTCTGTCTTCAGCCAATTAACAGCACATCGAAAGCTATGGCCACGATCAATGGTGTATTTCTGTGGAGCATTGTCCTGTGTCACACAAACAAGTTAGCTATGCTAAGTTTGGAGGAGCAGCTCTGAACACCTTGATCATTACTGGCCTGATAGTCCAAAATCTTAAAGATAACAACACATATAAAAATATTAAGATATGCTATTTAAAATACTTAAATATGATATATTTTATGTTAAATGAAGTGAGTGAACTTCTTTAGTAAGACAGTCTATGTTAAAGACCTATTGAATTAGAATTTGTATATTGAAAAAGAATTTCTAAAAGATGAACTTCCATCAAATGAAGAAATTCTAGGCTCTGGGTTTATTTCAAGGTTTCCTTGCTTTTGGCTGCTATTTTGCTTTTGCCTTTATATTATTATTTCAGACACAGGCTTTCTAAATTAGTCCTTTTTTGTCGGTTAGTGTTAGAAAACAAGATCAAAAAACTATCTAAAAGTCTGTCAAGATTTTACTCATTAACTACCATTTTAAGGTAAAAATCAGAACTGGATGTGTAGGAAAGCCAGACAACAATAGGCTGCTTTACCCCGGAGCTTTACTTGGTCATTTCCCAGCTCTCCCTCTTCCTACTACCATCTTCCTTTCAGAGCCGGCCACTGACGCTGATGCTGAGTGACCAGGATGTCATGCTCCAGCACAAAACAAAACAGTTCACCCAGCCTGGACCCACAGGACTGCAGGGAGACGTAGCTTTCTACAGTGAAGAGTCATCTCATCTTCCTGACAGAAGGTGTCGGTGACTTAGACACTGCTGGCTGGAAGGAACATTTGAATCCACAGTGTGATTCTCAACTGGGCTCTTTTAATTCTCTAGCAAAGACATTGCCTGCAGCATTGGAAATAACCTGAAAGTCCCTAAGGGAAGAATGGCTGAATAAACTATGTATATAATATTATGGAACATTATACAGTGATTAGAAAGAATGTGCTAAATCCAGTTAGATCCACCTATGGAGATGCATCCATGACACTGTAAAATACAGCAAAATTCAAAAGTAATATTTACAGTGTGTGGGGGAAAAGTAATGAATATAATATGATCTCAATTTCATAAAAAGAATAAAAAATGCTAGTGGGGAGTGTAAGAGAGAACAAGGAGAATATTAATCATTTTTTGGTACTTCCTTACATATATAAACTTGTACAATGAGCATAGATTATTGTTGTGATTTAAAATAAATGAAATACATTCACCTGGAAAAATTATAAATATACAGATATTCTAGCACAGAAAGGTGCTAAAAGTGATATTTTGATAATTTAACCAAAAATAGTGTATCTTGAAGTGTAAGCCTCTTCCTGTACCAAACAGCCATCTTACCTGTCTGTTGTTATTGTCCTCTGCAACATTGATTACATATGCCTGATTTTTCTTTTAGAGGGATGATTATATATATAGTAAAATATTTCAAAATGGAGCAAGCAAGCAAGCTTGGCTAAGAAAGTTTCCTTTAAAGTAGGGCCAGGATGGGGTGCTGGGTGGCTCAGTCACTTGACCATCCAACTCTTGATTTTGGTTCAGTTCATGATCTCATGATTAGTGAGTTTGAGCCCCAAGTCAGGCTCCATGTGGAGCCTGCTTGGGATCCTCTCTCTCTTTCCTTCTCTCTCTGCCCCTCCTCCACTTGCATCATCTTTCTCTCTCTCCCTCTCTCTCAAATAAATTAAAAAAAATTTTTTTTTTAAATATAGCCAGTAAGCCATAAGGGAGGAGGAATTTATGCACATCCTCAGCAGAGAAACTATGAACTTTTTGAACTTTTAAGCTATCCACAAGCCCTCAGCCTAGACTGAACTTCCCCCCTCACCGTGACAATTGGATCTTCTGTGGTCTTCTCTTCTAAAGGAGCCAGTTGGGTTTAACAAGCTTCAACCATGCATTTGCATACACAACCAATCCCAGTTAACCTAATTTCAATTCCTGTTTTGCAGAGGATCTAAATGAAAACTACATTCCTAACCTTCCACCTTTATATAACCTTGCCCCACTCTTTGTCTTCCTTGGAACACAATTTGGGTTTCTATCTCAATCTGTGGCTCCCAAACTGCAATTCTAACTGCCCACATAAATGTCTGTTTTAATTTTCAGTTAATGCTTTCTTTGTCAACATTATATATAAAGTAGAGACAACTGGTCTCTTCAAATGCTTTGTGATGTTTAAAAAATATATAACCTATAGAAAGATGAGGAAACACTGCTAATAAACACGGAAGAGAGATTAACTTCCAAGTTCTTTTAAATTTCTGGGCTTATGCTTTGCATTCTGTGTGTGTCTCTCTCTCTTTGCCCCTCCCCCACTCGTGCTTTGTCTCTCTCTCTCAAAAATAAACATTAAAAATAATTTTTAAAAAATTTCCAGGCTTAAAAAGCTAATTACATGTATGTTTGCTAACTAAGGCAACAACTCTTCCTCCTTTTCTTCTACAGAATTAGTAGAGGAATCTGGAAGAGTGCTGCTTTGTCAGCTGTGAGTGCTTACAGAGCTGAACCCATTTGGACATTTGAAGATTTCCCAGAAGTCCTTGCATGCCCCCAGCATGCATCTCTGTTGAAAATACACAATTTTCAGGATGCCTGACCAAAAGACCATTAAACAGTCATAGATACACACACATGCAACATCTCTGCAGTCTCCACAATATTGAAAATTCAACACCAGCACAACTGAAGAAAACAAAGATGTCCAAGTTAAATGAAGCATATACAAAATTTTGATGTATATACAAAATCACTAGCCAGCTCCCAATGGGCTTAGAAGAGCCTGCTAAGAACAGAATGTATGTTACAAGCGTAATAATAAACAAAAGTTTGGAACACCTGGGTGGCTCAGTCAATTAAGTGTCTGACTCTTGGTTTTGGCTTAAGTCATGATCTCACAGTTCATGGGTGTGA